GATCTTATATGCATAGGAAGTTTTTTGAAAGAAAACACTTGGCCATTAACAGTGGTTACCATGGGGCAGTAAGTTTCAGGGCCTTAATAGGGAGATATACTTTCACGATATAAATTTGTATACAGCTTAATTTTTCCCACTTTAAATATTTTCCRTGTTAAGTGTAGCAAATAATGGAAAGGATGCATTCCAGTAGTCTTAGAAGCTCCAAAATGCCTCTTCTAATTAAGAGAAAAACAGGTAAGCTACACTTACCTGTTTGCCTCCATGATGTCCACCCTTCTTTTATATTTGTGTTATTGTTGAAACAGAATAAACTGAAAAGAGACTTCAAATATAAGATTGCTCCAACACTGATTCCATGAAAGAGATTAACTAACGTTTACTTAAGATTGAATAGTTAAAGAAGGTGTGTTAGCTTTCCATTACTGTAACAAAACACCTGAGATAACCAACTTAACAAAAGGAAAAATTGCCAGGTGTGATGACACATGCCTGTAAGGAAGATTCACAAATTCAAGGTAAGCCTGGGCAACTTCGAAAGACCCTGTCTCAAAATTTAAAAGTGAAAAGGGTTAAGGATATAGCTCAGTGGTAGAGCACTCCTGGGTTTAGTCCTCAGTAACCTACACACACACACACACACACACAAGGAAAGGTTTATTTTGACTCACAGTTTTGGAGGTTGTCCATGGTCATTGGCCCTGATGCTTTGGAGCCTGTAGCAAGGCAGCACATTGTGGTGGGAATACATGGCAGCAGCAAATTGGGGACAGTGGACAAGCAAAGAGAAAGGAAAGGAAGGCCCAGGGTCCCATTATTCCCTTCAAGGGCACACCCYCAGTGATCTAACTTCCTGCACTAGGCCCCCAGTCTTTGACAGGTCCCACCACCTCCCAGTACTGCCGTGGGCTGTTGGAGGAAACTGACCATCTAAACCSCAGCAGAGGGCCTTGTTGGGGAAACTGCACTTCACCAGAGAGGGACTCCCTGATGAAGAAGGACACAGAGAGGAAGAAGTGTTGCTTATGGAGGGGCCTAATATTCTCCTGGAGGACCTGGATCMGTTACTATCCTTACAGAATGAAGGGGATTTAAGTTAGGTTAGTGCAGTATGATTTCACCTAAAAATTCCCTCCAGGGATGGATTTCATATGCTCTTTGTCTAAAGAAAGGAGAATCAATGCACTCCTGGGAAAATAAAAATAACCCTCCCACCACCATCGCCTCTATTTCATCAAAGAAAGGCAATCCCACCGTCTTTTGGCTGCTCTCTAGTTCCCTGATGTGTTTTAGTGACATTTCTTTATGCCTAACCCCAACCTAACTATTATTAAAAGTTAAAAGAAACATGAAAATGGAAGAAATTTAATTGAGGTTGGAAGAATATGAAACAATCCATGTTCAGTTATGGTTTCTCCTAGCACTTGACACTTAGACCTTCACAGATTTCAGAGTCTCCCTTATTAAGAAAGACATACCCTTTTTTCTCTCCCTCATTATTGGATGTGTAAATTGGGAAATTCATCCATGTGGATTTCACCATCCTCTTAAGTCTCTGGGAGTGAGCCAACAGTACCATTTCAATTTTTCTAAAGAATACCCCATAACAATTCCTACACATTCTAATTACATTTCTGTGGTCTTCCAGTGGAAAATTATAGTTCTGGGCCAAAATACTAAACTCTTATTCTGTTTTTTAAAAATGTTATTTTTTTTTCAAGTTTTCTTGTCTTTATAGGAGTGATTCATCCCAGAAATTGTGTCTTGYTTCTTATTGCACTAGGCATTAATAACCAGCAGTCACCAATGTTATAATTGTTTATTAACTTCATGAAAACCATCAGAAGTTAGGGCAATGGTTCTATAAAAAGCCTGGTAGTTGTCCTTGGACAAAAGCTTATGTGGAAATTCTGAGAATACACCAATTGAGACCAGTTATARTGAGATGAGGAAGAGACCAGAAGCAATTAACTGAAGGAGAAGTTTCTTTCAGAAAAATATTCAAAAGAAAGGGAAACCTTTTGGAAAATCAAAAAGGGRAACATCTCTGAAATTAAGGTTTATGTGTTCTTAGCCATAATATCAGAATTATAGAAAGCCCTATGTTACTAAGTCTCAAAATGCTTAAGCTTGTGATTTTGAATCTGTAGGCTACTGGTTTTCCAACCTCTTTCCATGGGCTCGTGTTAATGACCACACTGACCATGAAACTAAACCTCACATAATCTTTCAGAAATGGTAGAACAGAAATTCAAGCTCACCTTAGAGTTAGTGTGGCAAAAGTACTTTGCCAAAAAAAAAAAAAAAGGGTTATTTGTCAAGTTAGTAGGATACTCTTTCTTTCTCAATACAGTACATTTAAATGCTGAGTCACTGAGGAAAAATCAGAAAGGAAATCAATACCATTTTTAACCTTTGAAAAGTCATCCTATACTCAGCAGGATGTCCCTCCTCCTTTCAGGTAACAGAAATTATTTAAGCCCATGTTCCTAGTATAATACCTAATGAGATAAATATCAGCAAGTCACAGGGGACAGTTGGCTAGCTACTATGTTCCTGTTACCACAGCCACTAGARAGTGGCACCCTTGCCTTGGGACCCAGATTTTAAATGGTCAACATGAAAGAGTAGATTTTCCTGTAAACCAATCACAGTAACCACTTGGATCAAATTTAGGAAGCAGTCATCCCCTTAACCACTGATGGGAAGTTAAGTTTTGGTGMTAACCAGCTGGCAAAGTCTCCACGTCCAAAGACACTTCATTTTCACTGTCATTTTGGGTCATTTTTGCTTTGGCTATTTGTCGGGAGATAATATCTTCCCATGTCACTGGTTGAAATTACTTGTTTTTCAGCATGGTACTGGTACCAAAACAGGCGGGTGGACCAATGGTACAGAATAGAGGATACAGTAACCAACCCACAAAACTACAAATATCTTATATTCGATAAAGGGGCTAAAAGCATGCAATGGAGGAAGGATAGCATCTT